CACACACACACACACACACACACACACACACACACACACACACACACACGTAATTGCAGAGCTTAACATAGAATTCAAGGCTGTGAAGTGGGCTTAGCAATTGGGTCTTCTTGGAATGCAATATCTTCATCACTGAATAACCTCTGCCAGTTCCTATGTAAAAAAAAGAACGGGTCTTAAAATTGAAGGACGTGGCTTGCAGCTTGCATAGCGCCTCTGTGCCTCTCTTTTAATTTTTTTCTCAGCAGTTATAGTTTCTGTCTCTAAAATGGTGGTAACAACCAATTGGATGGTTAATGAAGACTAAGCCCAGGATCACTTCTATATCTGTAGGGTTTCATTGAGACAATTAAATGACAGGGACTCTAACATGATGTGGCTATTGCATTACACAGTATAATGCAAACCATGTTTTCTAAATCCTAGCTGTACAGTCTTCCTACTTGAGGCAATTTTTCTTCTCTCCAATTCATTTTTTAAATAATTGCCAGTAGCATCCCTGAAGATGCCAGATCTGTCACTTTTTACCCTTTACCTTTTTGTCTCTGTGTCTGGTATTTACTGTCTTTGGACACCAATCTTCAATTCAGCTGCTACATCTAATAGCCAAATCAGATTGAAAAGCTAGAAAGCAATAAGGCAAATGTTGGAGAAAGCTCAATCATAGTGTCCAACGACACAATGATTCCTTCCCAGTGGTGCTAGTTTCATTTCACTGTGTGACAAAAACCATTCAAGAAGACCTCTGCTTCTTCTTGTTTCCTTCTACTCCCATACCAGGTTCCCTAAATCTAGTGCTTTGAAGATAGCAAAATAGCTAATTGGAAGGCAACTTGGAGGTCTTTTGGTCCAACCCTCTGTTCAAGTAGGCGACCCTATCCCATTTCAAACAAAATTTTGGAGGCAAGCCATCCCACTGATTAATTGCTCTCAATTGTCAGGAAATTTGTCCTTATTTTTAAGTTGGATCTTTCCTTGATAAGCTTCAAACAGATGAGATGTTACATTCAACTCCTGTCATCCCAGCTAACACGTCTGTGGGATTCAAGAGAATATTCTCCATAGTTTTTCATCCACTGAAGTAATTAGTACAGTAAAAGGGAATGTGTGCCCAAATCCTGATTCCTGGAATAACTTTTGGAATTATATTTAAATTACTTTTACTTCCTGAACATTTTCATCGATCAGATCATTTCACATGGCTCATTTCTCACTTTGGGAGCTGAAAGAGACATTTTGAATGTTCCTCATTACCTGGAAAAAAAAAGACTTTGAATAGATACTATTTTTTCCTCTCCAAGCCAGGAAAGGTGTCCCTTTTTCTATATCTATATTGAAATATAGAAATGCTAAGATTTAGTTATTCATTTAACTTAATTGATCAATAGCTCATTTACTCATTCTTCCATGATTCATCTCAGTCCCCAATTAAAATTGTAACAAAGAACTTATTAAAATACTTACACTTGTTGGGTATAAGAGCGGCAATGGAAGCAGCAAAAGTGGAATTAAAACAACCAGTAGTAGGTTTCTGGCCTGGAGAAATCCCTTGGCTAGTGTCATTTCACACTGCATATTGTTAACTTGTTGATTTCCTGATGAATATTCCCCAATGGACTCTTCCAGTCAATGGTTTCTTCTTTTCCACTGAAGAATTTCCTTCCTTCAACGATACCTCATTCAATGCATTAAGAGGTCTGTGATTTTTAGATAGGGCCAACTTAATGGTTCTTCACAACCATCACACTGTAAGTATCTGAAGAACATAGTGCTTTTTGGCTTTTTGGCGATCAGGAAAATCTCCATGCTACTTCCATGATGCAGAACATCTTTCCACCTTCCATCACTATTTTAAAGGAATGCAAATTGCACCTACAAAGATACAACTGCTTTGTTCCCCAATCACACACTGCCAGGGTTATCCCAATTGGGTTTTCACCATGCTAATTAAAACTTTGAAGAAAACTCACAGTTTTTCAGATTTACTTCTTCTTCTTTCTTCCTTTGTGCTCTCTTGTGGTTTTTCTTAACTGCTTAGGGATTAGCTTCCTCTTACTTTCTTTTTCACCCCCACTGTTAGGAATTTCACAGCAATTCTTGCAAAGATTACCTTGACTTTCAGATAAAAAACAGAGTTCCAGCCTACCACAGCTCACCAAGACGCAAGGAGAAAGAGTCTTTTCCCCTTTAGGCAAAACCTAAGCAGCTTTCTGGGGAAGAAATCAACATCCTTCCATAGAACAGACTATTCCCACCCAACCACCCCTGCAGCTTCCCTAGCTCCAACCCCAGATGCTGGACAGTGTGGCAATGTCAAGGTCAGAGAACTGCTGTGAAAATATGAATCCCTGTTGTCAGTAGAAAATAATTCATTGATTTCCTTCACTTTCCACCCCAGCAGTTTTGTTTCTGAAGAGTGAAAATATTTGCGGCATGAATGGTAGAAGTTATTCACATGAGGTGGATACATCCAATGCTGGGTTTTAGCAGGATAGGATAGGATAGGATAGGATAGGATAGGATAGNACGTGTATTGTGTTCTATGTTCCCCTTTCCCCCTTTGAGTTGTTCGCCACTCTGAGTCCCTCCCAGAGAAGGGCGGCATACAAATAAACTAAATCTGAAATCTGAAATCTAATTTCTGATTTTCTGAGCAGCCATGACAGGCAACAACCCCCAGGATTCCTCACTATTGACCATGAGCTGAGGGTTTGGGAACCTAAAGTTTCATGAATTCCTCAAATCTATTCCACTGTTGCAGCCTCAGATATTTTCTTGCAGTTCAGACATTGCTTAGAAAAATACTTCAACTTTTCAGGCTGATTAAGGGCTGAAAACCCAAACACCAAGCCCTTGAATTAAAGTTGGAGACAAGCTGGTAACATATTGTTTGAGAAAAAAAATCTGTGGCAATACAAAATGTTCCATGTTTATCAGCAAAGCTTCAACAGCTTTCAAAACAAATGCACATTGAAATAATTTACAGTCGAAAAGGATTCCTTTTTCTTTTGTAAAAGAAAGATTAAGCAAATAGAATTACGGGTAAATATGCAACGTTACAGACATTTTAATAGCATTTTATACTAATTTACTATTTGCTGATTGTTAATGTTTGTGTGAGTTTCCGTCCATTGTGTCTTAATTCTGTCTTCATTATCTTATTTTATCTCTAGCAAAAAAAGAATCTCATTACCTTTCTTTGCTTCCCTTGTTTAAATTAGTTTTAGCTGACTTCTGCTTTGTTTAATTTGCCTACTTGTTCACTATAACCTTGATAGACAAGAGGATACTGTTAATTAGCATCTCAGGTTTGTCTTCCTTTTAACATAAGTTCTTAAAACACTAGGCATTAGTCATAATTAAGACAGACTGTCTCAGATGAGTTAGAAATTCTTGTTAAGTTTTATTGATAGACTGACTATTGTTCTTTTGACTGACTTTATGAATTTCTGGCTTCAGTTGTACAGTACTGTTTAAAGTGGCATATTGATATATTATCTTTATATATTGCATTAATTTAATGTTGCTAGTAGAATAATGGGGATGTTTTTCTAGTTTCTAATATATTTCGTAAACACTCATCTAATTTTTATAGCTTATCAGTCCCTTGTCTACGTTTTTCTCCCTTTTTCTTTTTTTCTTTTTCTTTTCTTTAGTTTGTTAATTGTTATTATTTTTAAATAAAAGAAAATAGCAAGTAAAACAGAATTAAAGAGGTTTCAAACTTATTTATGAAAAAAGTATATTCTGAGTTCATTAAAGCTAGCAAGTTGAAGTAAACAATACTATTTCCTTGGATGACTTTGGACAAGTGCGTATTACTCTCAAAAAGGAAGTTATTTCTAGGTTGATGAAGGAAGATTGGAAAAAGTTCAAAGAGTATGTATGTGCCACTTTGCCTTTTCAAACAAACAAACAAACACACACACACACACACACACACACACACACACACACACACACACACACACACAC